AGGAAGAAGCTCCAGCAACGCTGATGCATCCCCCTTTTTCTGGCTCAGTTCCATGCTGAGCTTTCTTAGTTTCTTAGCCATTCATTTTCAGCCACATGTTACAGGACCAGGAAGTGACAACAGGGCATTGCAGCAATCATGCTGCCAATTAACAGTCAGTTGAGAAAGGTGGTTTCTTTATAGGTAGAGATTTGGGGTGCTAAAGCCTCTAAGCTGTGAAGTTTTACCCCCAGCAAGCTTATAAGTACTTATTTTCTTCAGGAAGGGCATGGTCCGTAGAGGAATCCTAAGGTTTTTGTCATCCCCTCCCATCACCTTTACAAGTGGAAGAAGCCACTGGAACACTTTTGCTTATGCAGTTCCCTTTCTCAGTTCCCACCATTAAAAGATGCAGTTTCCTGCCCTGACACATTGCCAAAAAGGAGAGTGTGTGTTTCTTAAGTGAACTGGAAATGCTGTCCGTGCTTGCAAGCCAGAGTACAACCAAGCTTTTATATCAATGCACTCAGGGTCTGAAATGACATTATTTTGAATGGCAGAAAGGCATATCAGTGTGATAGTTGTGAATCCTAGTATTTGTTTACAAGAGCCCGTTGAGGTCTAAACCGGGGCTTCAATGTGCTAAACACGTATTCACGTTTGTGGTAAGCACACACGCATAGTGAAGCCTGTAAGAGCTGACCATCATTAGGAAAACAGGAACAGGTATGTATACAACTACTGACAAAGTCTGTTGATGTTTTTATTCTACCGTAAAGCCCAAAGAAATCGAGAAAATCAGTACCCCAATAGCCTGCCTACCTAGATCTGTACAGAAATTTCGAGTAGTCTGTAAAAAGTTATCAGAAGAAAGGTATGAAGGCAGAAGTATGAGTTACTAGAGAACTATACACATATTGCATAGAAGATAGCACAACTTAGGCTGGCATGACCAGCTGGCACTTGGAATTTCTCTCTTCCCTCAGTGTCTGCCCAGTCGGAGCGGTCCTTGGGCTTTCTGGTGAACCAGCTGCAGATCCTCACATCTGTATGTAATAGCCACTTAATGGTCACCTAACTTAAAGAACAATACAAGGGGCAGTCTGCCTTATAAGTGACCTGATGAAAATTAGCCTCAGTGTAGGTGCGACTGACTGTAGAAGAATAGCAGTCGAAAAATGAATTCACTTCGGTGTCCCGATAGAAAAGGTCAGAGCTGGCCTGTCCCCTGGGCTGGGTTTAAACAAGGTAAACATCAATCAGGTTAAGGACAGAGCTCTGTCTTCAAATCCTGGGCTTAACGTTCAGTGTGGACATAACCTTAAGACCTCCTGTATTTGAATTTCCGTCTGGGTGGGTATAACCAATAAACAGATAGCTAAGCATACTGCAGTAAGCGAGTGTGTGCAGTCTGTCGCAAAGAGCAATTCTGCGCCAAAGTAAATTATCATCAGTTGTCATTTATATGGGAATAAGCTTCACTGATTACTTTTTGCATATTCTCTTAGAATGAAGCCAGATGTTGTTCACCCCGTGTTATAAATCTGCAACCGACATTTTAAGATACTTCAAGAAAAAGGACACTGAGTCTTGTTAGTGAAATGGTCTATTTTAGAAACTGTTTCTGCTTTTGGTGATCAGAGTACCTTTCTGAATCAGGATACGTTTCCCTAGTTGTTAAACAAAGCAACATGCAAATTGCCATTCCAGCGATATTAGTATTGCCCCAGCATGAGTGAAGTGTTTCTTGTTGTTTTCAGAAAGGAACGGTAACTTCCCCTAAGGAAAATTGCTCTGAATTACTGTTGTGGTTTTGGTGAGTGTGTTAATAGAATCATTTTCTGATTTTAATTATTTTAGTTTTACTTGCTTGATGCTTTTACATTTCTTGCTGCGGCATGTTTTCAGCCTGCAGCCAGGAGTCCAGGTTGCAGTGATATATTAGACTTCTGAAGCAAGGAAGTCACTCAATCTCAATCATCTGAGAAATTCTTTTTGGTTATCCAGTCTGTTTGAAACTGTCAGGACGTCTCCCTTTTCTCCCAACTTATATGACCCCAAGCATTAGCGTCCCCACCTATGTATGCGTTTCTTCCTGTTGGGGTAATATTTATAGCATTTCTGACCTTTGAATGAACTTTTAAGAATCAATAATGGCAAAATGGAAGGAAGGTCAGCTGCAGTTTTCCTCTTGTCTGATTGAGTGTTGGCAAGTTACACTGGGAACATTAGGAATTATCAAAATCACATTTTGCAGCACTTTTGCAGGCAATAGATAGATTAAAGTGTTTTGAGCTGTTACGTATACGTTTTTACATGGCAAAACTGCTGCAACAAGCCTTACAGCCAGTGCTTAAGAGTAATCTTCTTGAGCATATTTTGCCACAAGAAAAATTTAGCTTGCTTTGAAACCCTTCTCATTAATAACCTGCTGAGACTGAAACACCATTAAAGTGTAAATTTCCTCCCATTTTAGATTATAGCAGTAAAATCAACACAATCACCCACATATTTAAACTAGCTGTCTGAGCGCAAGCGGCCGTATGAGATTGTTCGGGAAGCCAGGTTTGCCAGTTCAGATCCACTAGTCCTGTAACCCTACGACTGAAATATCATAACCTTTCCTAACTCTTCAGATTTCTGGAGCTTCTTCCAAAATTGAGGTGTTCCCATAACGAATGAGACATCTGGATGCTGTTTGATGCTTCTGTGTGTACAGGAGGAAACCGAGACTTGAAATTTCCCCTAATTTCACTTTCTTAACTGTGAAGATCCTAGTTTAATCAAACACTTTCCTTCTACAGTCAATGGCCAGAGCTGGCACCTGTAGAAAGTGCTTCTTGCTCTCTCAGTTGCCTACAAAGGGAGCCTAGCCAAGTAATTGAGTTTCTAACTATAAATTAGGAGCCTCTCTTTCAGATGCATCAAGTTAAGTGAGATGAATCTTACTACTAGAGGTAAGAATAATGGATCTCACAGAGTGCGAGATCTTTTACCTTGTAATTAGAGTAATTTTTTTCCGGTCAGGACTGCCTTTATGCCTTTTTGTAGAGGTAATAAAGCGGGGTCCTGCTCTTTGCTGGAACCTCCTGGTGCTGCTGTAATACATAGCGTTCATAGCTGCAATATTAATGTCGTTATTCTGAAAACTCCTCTAGTACTAGCTCCATTTTTCTTCAGTGACTGAATGGGCAGATCATAGCTCATGGATCATGGTAGTTGTGTGTACCTTTACAAATTTCAAGAAACTCTTTTGATAACAGCTCAAAAGAGTTTTGTTTTGATAAATGCTTTTTTTATATCTCATTGTTGTTTGAAGATTGGGTCTACTTGTTCAGCCAGCCTCACAAATATGTCTAAAAATACCCCGCAAAATTTGAAAGCTTTTGTTTGATCAAAAGTTGTTTGGTCAAAAGTATTTTAAAAGCCAGGAAATGTAAAATGAGGGAGACTTTTTTTAAATACATGTTACCATATTTATTATTATTATTATTAGGTTGCTGCGGGAGAACAAAGGGAAAGATATTTCCACATAAGTTCCACATGAGCTGCTAGTATCAACTTTGAATTTCCTTGTTTTTTCCTAGTTTATAAAACACCCTTAATATAGAATTGTTTTGTCTGAGAATAAATCGTGCGTTTATTCAAACTCTTAGATCCATAATATTAAAGATATTTGCTGCCTCTCTCCACATAACTCTTTCCTTCTTTTTTGTTTTGTTTTGTTTTTTCCTTCCTTCAAGGAACAGTTTGTTGTACTATGTACATCTTAAGTGCTCTTAAACATAAAGCCGTCTTGTAATTTCTCTACTCTTCCAGAATATACATTTCAGTTTTCAGCAATCTCTAACCAAGTGAAGTTTGCTCACTTTGTCTCAGTCTTCCTCCTAACACATTTTAAGTACTTTGAAGAGTTGTATAAAGCAGGAGAAAGATTGGAATCCTGATGCTCTACTTAAGTCAGATCAAAGTACTGCACAGGCTTGTACTCCTTTTTTCACCAGGAGTGAAAAAAGGAGATCGAATAACATATTCATTGAGATCAAATAACAAAATCACCCCTTTGTTTGACTGCTTTGATAGAGAAGCTATTAGTATTAATATCTCTGAGAAAAATCAAGCTTATCATTTCACTAGGGCTAGTATTTTGGCTCCATCAGTAAGCTAAAATGAGTTCACCTGGCAATAGCACATGGACCTGAATGAACAGTAAAGTTACATAAACAGGACAGATGCAGCTGCCTCAAAACCAGCTAGAAACTAAGCTTATGGTGCAGTCAGCTGGTGACGATGGAGTTTCATTTTCTACTAATTTTTCTGATTAGCTGGCAGCTGCCAATGTGGGTATTGACAGAGTTTACACCATCAGCATGTAAAAACGTCTACTTGTCATTTCCCCAAAACCGGATGATAACCAGAACTACTTGTTGCTTGTGCTGATCTAAGGCTGGCTGATGTCATGAGAACTACCTCAACCTGTGCTGTTCTATTTATGTCGTTGTTAAAAGTAGCAGTTAATTTGTCTGTGGGGAAAAGTACATGCTGTTGCTTATGGTGTGTCAAATCTCATGGTTTTGCCTTAGATCTGTAGCAGCTCCTCCATCATTCTTGTCTGTGTGGTTTTCTACCTTCACTGGTACAATATCTGGGAGGGGAAGCCTATGACATTCATTCCCTAGCTCTTCTATAGGTCCTGCAGAAAAGACTCAGGTGCTTCTTTTCTCCCACATGTTTCCCTATCATTATTTCTATTTATTTCCTGCTTCCTGAACACAATAATACACAAGGTCACGTATTACCTGCCACTCTTTGTACATGAGCAGTCCTCAGCTACCAAACGCTTTGACTGAACCTGCAGTCACTACCTGGACCTGAACCCCTTGCCAGACATTGGAACCTTTTTAGTGTCAAAATAGACCATATTCTCCAAGCTGTACACATGCCACTCCTCACATGTCTCACAAATACACGAGTATGTGCTGCTATCATTAACAGTGGGCAATTCTGCTTGCTGATTTCAGAGAACGATGAAGAGCAGGAAGCTCTGTTATCCCTAGATAAGCCTGGCTGGTATTCCCAAGGTAATGCTATCCATCTTTATGAACTACTGAAGAAGATGACCGGCAAGTTGGACCCCAAGGTATGTTATAAATGCAGGTAGTTTTTCCTGAAAACACCGTGTTTCAGTCTAAAATTCACCCGATCAGCTTGCATTAAGGTTAATAATGTGATCAGTTAGGAGTTTTATTCTGCATACACCTGCCGTTGGACTGAGCAAAGTCATTGCACTTCCGAGGTGATACTTCATTCTGCCTCATAGCTAATATTTATATATATGGTCAGTCACTGCGCAAGGTGAGAGACTTCTTTCTTAGCTTACTCCACATCTTTCCCAGTGCATAATATTTTCTATTTACTTCTTAGCAAATAGGCCAGTGCACAATCCGTGTGCTACAAGGATGGCGGGGGATGTAGTTTCTGCTGCTTTAAATAATTTGTGAAAAAAAGCTGCACTGGAATATACTAAGGCTAAAGCTGCCTGTGGCTCCTTCATCTCCCATTAACCAAGTGTTAATCTATTACAATTTCCTGGAGGAAATAGGTGGATGAAAAGGTGTCATAAGTGAAAATTAGGATTATTGTATCTCCCCATTTTCAGAACAGGCTGGGTGAAAATGCCAGTGAAGACTATGGCAGCATATTTTCCCTAGTAGGTAAACTACCACTTGGGTACAAAATCGTTCTGAATCACCAAGAGAGGCTCTGTGTTCTCCTTTTTTTCCAAAGCTGTCCAAAATGCATTCCATTTATTTAGTGTATTTTCTTGTTAAACTTTTCTACTGGCTATTTCAGGCAGTCAAAAATCTCAGTGCTATCTCGTGTGTCCGTCCCAACCTGATATTCCTTTATAATGTCACTGGAAGGTCAAATAAGGAAGGTATGTGGGGCTAGCTGTTTATTTATGGGGAAGCTAGAAGGGAGTTAGTTGGAAAATAAAAAAGAAAAAATAAGACTATGACATTTATAAGATGTATGTGTGTTGTGGCCAGCTGTAAACATGAAAGAATTTTTATTAGGTTGTTCGAAAGCTCTTTTTCTCTATCTTTGAAATGCAGTTTGCTCATTTTTCTCATATACAAAGAACTTTAATTTACTACTTCCCTCGTAGGTTGTTTATTTTGGTGACAGCATGCACTCGGATATTTTCCCAGCTCGTCACTATAGCAACTGGGAAACTGTCTTCATCTTAGAGGAGCTTCTAGGGGACAAAGTTGTGGTGCCTGCAGAGACTGAGTCTGAGCCCTTGGAGAAGAAAGGAAAATATGAGGTAAGGTTCCTAGCAGCTGTTTCCTGGAATAGAAGAAAGTAAGTTACAGAAAAGCCTAGCGCCACCTGCACTGAGAAGAAACCTGCTTGTCTAACAAGCCTGTTGGCAGTGCTGGGATCTCTCCCAGGCATGCATGTCCTCACAGCCACACCGAGATGGTGCCATCACTCTCCAGCTTGACGTTGTAAGAGTTTGGTTTTTGGCACTAGTGACACGTGGTCTTCATTACCCTAAGCAAACCCAATTGTGGACCACAAAAAAAGGGGAAGCTGTGTCTCCTCTTAACCAAAAAATATAGTCTTCTCCTTTGCAGTAACCAGAACCTGCCTTGCATCCTACAAGCTGAAGCTCTAATGGTCCTTGTCACAAGTCCATCACCTGAACTCTTCACAGTTCATATGTCCCTGTTTACCAGAAGCACTGCTTCTAAGACAGGTCAACTGCAGGCTACTGAGAGTTACTTCAGATAAATAATTTAATTTTTAGGTTGACTGTAGTTGAGAAGCAAGGCCTTTGATCAGTTCTAGCACTTCTGCCACCCTAATTCTCCTGTGGAAGGTAAAATTTGTATTATGGTTGATTCTTTTCTCTGCTGCTTAAGACCAAGGTAGAGAATTACACTTGGGGTTGATTCGTACCTCCAGCATTTAGTATTTAGGAACTATAATGCAGCTTCAGCAAGGATCCTCTGTTAATCTGCTCCCCATAACAAAGAATAAGAAATCTGAGTCCTACTATTCTTATAACTTTCCGTATCCTCCTTTTAAAGCTAAACAAAATGTTTAGTCTCTTATAATATGTAGACAATGAGAAGCAAAGGCTTGAGTGGCACTTAGAATTACAGCGAGTCCCCAACACTTGTTGAGGAAACCATTTAACAGAAAAGGTAAGGCCTCAAAGTATTTCCATCTCACAAAGTATGAAATTGAACCCATTTCTATTTCTTGATATAAATGCATATGAATATTATTTATTTTTAAGAAAATATATATATACTTTTACTCCAATTTAAAAGCATTTTGCACTAAAACTCCTTCTCTAACAGTTCAGAATGGGTTCAAATGTAACACTGCTTATAGTACGGACACTACAGTAAACAGGGAATTATATATTTTTGAGAGATGATTTCCTTTTCTCAGGAAAAGTTATTTTTAATATAATATCTTTTGCTTAAGAAATAAAAAAACCTCTTATTTTGTAGTGTTTACTCTTTTGTTATGTTATCGAATACATAGGTAATATTCTGATTGCAGATAGATACAGATATAGACATATACTTTATACATTTTGCTTTGAAGAGCACTTATTTTGTTTCTTTTTAAATAAATATTTTGAGGCATTAAAAATATAACTTACTGTTATGAAGATTTGTTACAGGGTGCTTTTTTTAATCTAAGAAGCATATTAAAAGCTCCTTTTTATGGAGAAAAGGAAGCCTTTAATGTGACTAAAACAATATAGAAAAGACATCCATTTCTTTGTGTTTTTTTCTTTTTTTAAAGAAATATATAATATCTTTTGCCACTATCCTGATTTGTAAAGTAAGGTCAAGCAAGGACATTTCACCCACTGAAATAATGAAAGATAATAATTAAAATCTGGGCTTTTTCCTGGGTTGTAGAAAAACAAAAATGAGGAAAAACAAACTCAGTCTCCTGATAAGAAAAATATATTTCCCAGTTTAAAAAAAAAAGAAAAAGAAAGGAAAGATGAGGAATAGTGCTACATAGGTTGAAAATTTTGGATTAAATTAATTAATACTGTTAAAATAACTCATTCTTCTCCATAAATTTAGCCTTTCCCTGACTAGAAACTCTGCTGCATTAGTATTTAGAACTTACATCTCTCTGAGGTTTTGTTTCTTTTTTTTCAAGTATGTTTTCTTAAGCATTTTAAAGCTTTTACGCTTTTGAAGCATATATTTTTAAACAAGAAGCCAGCATGTGTTTCTTTTCCTGAGAGCATAAAGGAAAAGTTATTGAATTGATGTATTTCTAAGCAGTTGATGATGATGTTTTTTTTTATCTTGCTGGCATACCTTTGGTTGTCTCCTCACAAAATCCATCCTCTCTGTCACTGTAGTTATCAAGTGGGAAACTGAGACTTTTAGACAGGCATTTGACATTTCACTAAACCTATAGTGTTCATGGTAACAGATTGCAGTAGCTCAGTAAGACACCATCTCCGCCACAAAAAACCTCTGCTCAGTTTACATCCGCTGCCAGTGACAGCAAGTAAGCACGGGAGAAATGAATTGTGTTGATTAAAGGAATCCGAACCAAGGGGCCATAGTAGGTCAGTGGTGTTATTTCATTACCATGCTGCTCACTGGAGTCTGAACAACAGGTCACATCCATATCTCTGCAGTTGACTGGACACCACTGACTCAACAGGACTAGTTCAAAGAGATTGCCTTTACAAGACTACGAAAGTTTTAGTTTTATTCCCCTAATCAGCTTCTCCCATTAGCCCTTTGGTTAAAAGGGGAGAAAAGCCAATTCAAAGGCATGTACAAAGTCAGTTTTTTTGAAAAACAGGCACTAACAAATGAGATTTAGTATTATTAATTAGCCCTCTCATGCCTTGGTAAGGAAAGAAGTTTTTCCTCAGGTTCAGATGGAGCTGCCTGTGTTTCAGTTTCTGCCCGTTGCCTCTTGTCCTGTCACTGGGCACCACAGAGAAGAGTCCAGCCCCATCCTCTGGGCACCCTCCCTTCAGATACTTGTACACACTGGTGAGATCCCCCCTCAGTCTTGTCTTCTCCAGGCTGAACAGGCCCAGCTCTGTCAGCCTTTCTTCAGAGGAGAGATGCTCCAGCCCTCTAATCATCTTGGTAGCCCTCCGCTGGACTCTCGCCAGCAGAGAATTTTCATTAGTAGGCTTTTTTGTCTTTTCCCCTTCAATTGAGGACACGATACACATGATGGAGAGATAGACAGGTAGATAGACATAACTGTGAAATTATGGTAACAACTGCAGTTCTTTCAGGTGTGTGAGTCATAACCAAATGAGCAAGAGAATAGCAGACCAAAAGTATTCATGCAGTTACTCAGCTGTTAAAGAGTACTGCAGCATGCAGGGGGGAAAAAATAGCATTGCGTTGAAACTAGATTCCCCCCAGATCTGGGGGCTTGTTTGCTTCACTGGATGCTTTGTTTTTTTCCCCTCTGCTCACTAAGTATGTGATCAATTTCATCAATGAAAACTCTGAGAAAAGTTGGAATTCATCCCAGGATTCTGAGGGAAATTATTGCAGAGGGGCTAGTCCATATGTAAAAAACTTGAGCTATGGGAATGAATGGAGTAGAAAACTTAGAAATTATTAGCAAATATAGATGCTATTTTTTTCAGTTAGAAGGAAAAATTCATTTTACGGTACTGTCTTGTGACTGCTTTGTGGAGGAAGTCCCTTGAGCCCCTTTTATTTCCAGGGCTCCCTCTGAGTGACCTTAGACAAGGGCTAATTACTCTGTGTCTTTTGGCTCTGTTTATCTCTCCATTCCTGTTTATCTTTAACACAAATCTAATAGTACTTTCAGGAACAACCTGATGGGGTGTTGTGAAACCTGATAAGATAAGCAATATCCTTAAAGCAATATCCTTAAGTGAAATGCATTTCATTAGTTTATAATTGGATTTGATGACTATCTTTTTTAAAGGAAGGCTGTTTATAGTGATCCATGTGTAAATTTCGTTATAATGATCATAGGTGCAATATTTTATTTTTACCCACAACTTGTGGGGAGCGGGTTCTGTGGAGAAGGTAGACAAGTGGCAGATGTGTCCACTTGCACAGCCTAACATAGCTGTGTTAGACAGGTACATCTGTTTGTCACAGTCTCTTACCAGCAAAGTTGTGCTGGCAGAAACACCTCAAATACTTGCTGTTATACAGACACAACTATACTCCTGATAGTTCTTTTTTCTGGCACTAAGAGTCGGTGGTGGTTTTAGGAACCAGGCACAAAGCACATGGCCATCAGTACCATCTATGATACTGAATGCAGGATACAGTATGCGGTACACATCATAGCAACCCTAGTGCCCTGCGCTTGGTACAAAGACGATGGCATTGATGGCAAATCACCATTTAAATGCCTTTAAAACAAATACAGTAAATATATGCAGTGAACATACTGCATGCGCAAGGCTTTTCAGCTGCATTTTTCACTCCTGTCTCATTTATGTTCTTTTCCTTTCACGTCCGTACCAAATGGACAAAAATATCAGAGCGCAGCCTATTTCAGTTTTAAACTGGTCATTTGTAAGCAGACAAGTCAGTGTTACCCAAGGGTCCTATTAACAGATTCTGTCTGGTCTGTTAACAGGCCCTAGTTGTCTGCATTTAATAAAGTAAAGGCAATATTAAGTATTCCAGGTGGTTTAATTTAGTGGAAAGCTTGGGATTTGGGGAACAGTAGTACCATCATTATTTCTCTAAAGTCTAGACACAGTCTTTGAGGCTTTGTAGCCCAAATTAACACAATCAACACCTAACCTCCTGTTACAGTTTGACTAACATGCCTGAGAGCAAAAGCAAGTGTTTGTTTAGGGGCTTTTGTATATGCAAGAGGGATGGCTCAGCACTTCCCAGGATTTATTGTCCTGCAGCAAGAGCAAACCCGCATTTAGGGTCTGCAAGTCCAGAGCTCCTCAGCTCCACAGTTACATGCGCGTCTCCAGGTGTGTGAAGAACAGTGATTTTGCCAAGGAACTGCCGTCTGATTTTGCAGACTTTGTGGTACATGGTCTAGCCTTGACTGCGGGCTATGTACGCTTCATGTGAGATGTGGAAGTCTTTGGGAAGCAGCAGAATGATAGAGGGAATGATATCAGATATTTTCTAGGGATCATTTATTTGGCAAAGCTTTGACAGCTTTTTTCATATTTGAGCTCTAGATGTAGCCGAGCTATTAAACCACCCTTGGCATGGGGAGATAAGCCAGTAGCAAAAAAATAAAAATTCTATGCCAAGTACCTTGATGACAATTTTGATATTTAACAGTGTTTGGTTGTATTAAGGACATGGGCTGTAATTTATAATTTTATCTTCCTCCTCCTTATGAGGACAAGGAAGAAATTGCCACTCTAACCATCAGACCTTTGAAAAAATCAGTTAATTCCCTGAAACTGCAATTGTAATTGCCTGTTGAACCAATCATAAATATTTCAAAAGACAGAAGCCTCAGATGTTTTCTCTTATCAATAAACAAGGGCTTGTCATATCTGCAAATGCGTGTGTGAGCCAGTACTGGGAAGGGGGGCGTATTTAATAATCTGAACAGTTAGTATTGTCTTATGAGATTTCTGCATGTGTCATCCAGCTGGCAAACAGATTTTAATTCAGCATAGTGTTGCCATTGAATTAGAACTGATGTGAAGTCCAGGGATTTGCAGGGAAAGGTAAGATTTGGCAAAACAAATGTAGGTACTATCCTTGTGGGTGGAAAAAAATGAAGAACCCAGCCCATAAGTTAACTGCTGTTCTGAAACTAAAGATATGTTTTTTTCTAACCTATTTTCAGCAGTAGACAGAAACCAATATCTGCATTTGCCCGAATCGATTCTTTCTCTGCAAAAAACAACTATACTCGGAATAAAAATTGTTACTCAGAATCACTAAACAAATTCTGTGTGATTTGTTTTTGTTCTGCTGGATTTTTGGAGCTTTGTTGCCATCAAGACCAAGGATATCTGTCATAAACAAGAATTATTTCAGTACGTTCTCAAAATTATTATAATAGAGGTTAAATGAAAAATGAAGTACAAAAGTTCAAGAATCTGGAGGCACAGGCTAGGATATCTGTTGTTCTGCGCTTTGCTGGTCTGAAAATATACTTTGCACACAGATGACTTTAACAGATTTTCTATAGTGCAGTTTTGTTTTACATTTTTTAATCTTTCTGTAGAGGTTTCTGGAGTTTCTTCTGGCTGCCGATGGCAATATGTAGCTGGTTTCAAGATGAACTGCAAAAAAAAAAAAAAAAAAAATCAATTTTCCCATTGCTGCATTATTACTTTCTTTAAAATATAATGAGTCTACATATTGTTATCTAAAAATACACATGAAAAATACAGAATTTTCATAATTTGCTAGTCAACTGCATGACTCTCAATGGATGCTGTGACTTCATCCTCACTTATTCAACAGCTCAGAAACAGATATAACAATACATTTAAAATAATATATTATTTGCCGTTACTCCCTCTGTCATTCAGTGTATGGTAGACCCCTTTCTAATTCAAAGGACTACTCGTAGGCTTATGGTCTGTGTCATGGCTACTCAGCTTCTCCAGTACAGAAGGGCAGCAACCTATTCATGCTTTCTAAAATTAAAAAAAAAAAAAAAGGAAGAGAAAAGATTTTTAAGGGAAAAATATTTAAGGTCAACTTTTTATATCCTAAGGAATTAAATTGCACAAATAGGAGTTGGGGGCTTATCAGAGGAAGATTTTTATTGTTTTCTTCTATTATATTCATATTTATGTTTTTTTTTTATTTCAGGGACATTCCCCTGAAGCTCCTTACTCTGTATCTAAACAGTGGGGCTCTTTCTTCACGGACAGCTTGCCAGGCTTGGGAAATGCTGAAGAAACTTTACTTAGCACATGGTCCTGTAAATGCATTAGCACTTACAGCACTATTGCAATCCCTAGTCTTGAAGCAATAGCAGGTAAGGAAGTTTTTTTTTTTTCCTCCTAATGAACATGTAGTATTCATGTAGTATTCATAGCAATCTGTAGATCTGTTTTTGAGATTATGTGTGTCCAATGTGCATTCAAAAATACTCTCCTGATATCACTCAACAATACACAACTAGTCATTACTTTGATGTTTATGCTTGTAACTGCTGTCTGTCACTACAGAACTGGAGCCTAAAATCTTCTTGTTATCTGCCAAAAGACCATACAAGCCTTTTCTCCAAAGCAGCCCTAAAAATCACTTTGTTTTGAGAAGTAACTTTAGACTTTCTACCCTCTTCCATCAAGACTGTGACAAGGATACAATTATGATTGATCTGCTGGTTTTTTTTTAACTATTTTACCCTGGATTAACCATGCATTATTTTGTAGTGATAATTGCAGCAGTAATACTACAGTAGCTTTGTAACTGCAATACATATCAGCTGATTATGAAGTGGTGGTGAAGGTCCTCTATTATCAATTCATCATTTTCCTTGCTCTATATTATTGATATACCAGGCCTAAAGGAATAAACAAATTATTACATGAATGATGTGCTTAGCAGCATGAAGAATAAATATTTAATTTACTAGCCCTCTCTTCAGATGGAGCCTACCTCATGCATAAAGCCAATGAATAAAAACTTGTTCTGAAAGAACATTTCAGATTTGTAAAACAGCTATTTCTATTCCACTGCCAGAACACAGGCAATTATCTCTCACTCTTACAAAAGGTGATAACATTGTGGAGTCAGTGAATGACAAAATTAGAATAGACCTGGTCTTTTCAACCATATTCTACAAATTTTTCTACGTTGTAAGAATATCTCAAAGCAAATAAGCTCATACAGTGCCAGAGTTTGTTTACACTTCTAACATCTACTGTGTTGCAGTGTGTATTTCAGCCTAAAGGCTCAAATATAACAAGGAAAATTGCCAGGGCAGAGAGAACTTCTGTAAAACTCTCTTTAATACTTTTTCCTGAGTCATTGTGGAGTTTTCTTTAAGATTATATTTGCCTAAGGGAAATACATTGGGCAGCCTTATTCTGTGAAAATCTGCCTTCCAACCAGCTCCTCCAAAGCACAGCTCAGTTTGTATGGTTAGCAAAGGCTTTAAACTGCAAAGGTTTCAAGAAAAGTTTCCAGCGACAGATGAAGGGGTGATGAAGGGGTGAGACTTAATAAAGCCACACAGCTGCAAATTACGTGGTGAAGTGTGGGAGCAATACAGCTGTCTGTTCCCTCTGATTTTATTCTCAGCTGTGGAGCCTCTGCAATGTCCAGCTCCATCAGGAGGAATACTCTGTCGTGGGGAATCGCCTTCCCTCCACTGCATCCGACCCATGCTCGGGCAGTGACTGGTGTCTTCGTAAATTGTATCCCAGAGCTAAGGGATAGTTCAAAACCAGCATTTCTAACTTGCAGCTGTGTGTCTGGAAAGAAACTCAAAGCTGAATGTGTGAGACCTATGGTTTCTTACAGAGAGAGGTATTTCTTGTTTGTTTGTGCTGAAGAGCAGATGTTCATTATTATGGATGTTGAGGAATTCCTGACTCCTCTTGAATACCTTGTCTAACTCCTGTTACAGCAAGCTGTGCGAGTCCCTGCTTTGCCAAGGCCGGAAGTTTTTGGCTACAGTTGTAAATTAGAGCCTAGCTGCATTTATTTTGGAATAACTAGCTACAAGAGATTCAAGCCGGCTCTGTGGGCCCGACGCACTCTGGCTTTTCTTTTTTACTCACGTATTTTAATTGCCAGCAGAGGACTTCCCTCTGTCAATTTGCAAAAACATACGCCCTTCCTCAAGAAGGTCCGAGTCCAAATGTGCAACCACAGTGCTGGTCTGGTGACTGTTCAGGCCAAGCGTTCATCTACCAGCTTGGGCTTTGCTAGCAGTGTGGCCACAGCAACACACAGCTTAATGTGACCTGGCCAAATGAGCATCTACCATGTTCCCTGAAGGTGTTTTGCACCTTGAGTTCTGGATTGAGCATTGCTTCACTATTAGCAATAGCTGAACTGGCCTTTGTATGTCTCTGTGAGCAATAGTAAGTGCCACATAGAAATAAATATCCTAACAGATTATAATCTGCAAAAATATTTCGATAAAGCCAAACAGTCATTATTATATTAAAATACACTTGATTCGTGTTTTTTGGATGTAATATATACCTCCACATCAAGAATGGCTTCATTTATTTCCCGAAACATTCTTTTCATTGAAAAAGACTTTTTAACAAAATAAATACTAGTGTTTTACAAAAATTACTGAGTTTTCATCAAAATTCATATGAGAACTCCTTTGAAAGTATTACCAGAATTTTGTTTTGGTTAATAAAACCCTTCAGGGCTTCTTTCCTTTTTTTTTTTTTTAATATAGAAAATATATACAACGTTTAAAAAAAAAAGTTGTAGCTCTGCTTTGAGAAGTTGGGATAAAAAAGCTTTGACAGTTCTCCTTTTTTTTTCATCAAAGTATTGTGAGTTTGCTGCCAATGCCTTTTAGTAGTTTCACCTAAAGAATTTATGCATAAAAGAAAAGGGAATAATCTGGTATTTATCAAAAATATTCTAGGAAAAGGGTTTCGCAGAGAGTGCTGCTGCCACAGTTTTTGGCCATTCAACGTATAAAGTAACTGAGCATGCACAAAAATTGTTACTGTAGTAACTAAAATGACAGCTTGATGAAAAAATAGTCCAATTCATTGTTCTTTAGCTTTCTGTGCTAAATTTAAGTAGTTGTTCTTTTATACTTTTGTCCTCATCTATAGCTGAAAATTTAGTATCTGACTCAAAAGTGGTTTGCATTCAAAGATATATCAGAAATTCTGAATTCTCATCTGGTCTCTAACAGGCAAAATGTTAGTGGGATTGTACATTATTAGGTCACAGCTTGTCATCTAAGTTCTTCTGACAGTCCCTGAAGAGAGATAGGTGTTTTCCTTGAGCACGAAACAAAGGATATTTTGGTTACTGCTAAAATTGCCCAAAGGACAGAAAGGATTTTCCGTCATATGTTCTGTATCCTTCCTTGGTTTGGAGGGGAAATCAGACAGAAGCCAAGCAAAACTCTTCATTGAAGATATTATCACCTTGACATTAAGATAACATTAAGAAAGTTTAACCAAAGAGAAACATTATGGCTATATTTCTGTAATGGTAAGAGGAATGGAAGTTTTCTAAACATTTCATAGGTCTTTTATGAGCTATTACCCACTTTAGTAAGCGGGGAAATTTTTCTTAAGTATCTGAAAGCTGAGGAACTCATAATTATATTGACAGTAAGCAGTTAGTAAAATAAAAGAAGCCAGCACTCCTACGCCTATTCTTAATGCCTCATTCACAAGTCCATCTACTCCTTCACTTTTCTGCTATTGAATCGCTTCTCATTTACAGCTCCATCACAGTGTCTGACCTTTTGAAAGTGCAAAGATATTATAGGCCAGATTTTCAAGACCAGGATCCATTACTGTGGGAACTTTCCATCCTAGCTCACACATGGAAATTAAAAGATAGGGGGAGGTTGTCTGAAAAATGACATTATGCATAAATCACAATATGTAATATATCCTGCGCAACTTTAGAAAGCTTGGTTTGAGCGAAATAGAGCCAGGTACTTTTATCTATCAACCTTCATTATCTGAATTTTACCTTCAAGTAGCATGTTATTGTTATTCTGCTGCATTTTGATCAAATTTCCAGATGCCCATGTAAATAAGGATATGTCCTGCATCATGTAGATATTCCAGCAATGATTGCAGAAGATCTCTGATTTACAAAGAATAAATATTTTATTTTCTAAACATGTTTTTGTAGAAAAGGTCACTAAAATCACTAGCCAATGATGCCATTTCAGATTGCAATTTGATTAACAATTTAAGATCTCAGCAATGATAGGCATATTTCAAACTTTTGGTGTTGGATGGTGTTTTTACTAAAGTCCCGCTTCAACAGTTCCATGATTAGGAACTGTGTAGTTTTAGATTTTATGGGGGGATTTTAGTAAGTTGTATCGGTTTTTGTTGCAAAGAAAAAGTTGAAAAAGTGGGCCCTAAATTCCAGTAAAGAGAACTCAAGATAGATATTTAAAATTTTATAATATTTAATCTAATCTCCTGAACTTGTCACATAACTTCTGAGTGGTAAGGTTTGCGATAAAATTAAAAATGACTGCAAGCAAGAGCAGGAGATTGAGCAATGTAGGAGTTCAAAACAGTTGCATTTCAAAGAAGAATGAGTGTAAATCTAACTGTTTTATGAATGCAATCTTTATTCCACATTTTGGAGATTTGATAAGCAAGCCTATGTCACACATGAGGATAATGCATTTTCTTTAAACTAGCAAGCTATATGAAATCTCATGATGCTTTGCCCACATGAATCCATAAGTTTTTCTTCGTACCCTGTTGTTATTTCAATTAGCTAGTACAAAAGAAAAATCTTAGTTAAAATTTGTCAAAGCTATCTCTTTAAAGAGGTCTACAGATCTATACCCTGCATCCTTCTGCAGGAGTTCGAGAAGTCAGTCTGCTTGCAATATAAATATAATGATAAAATTGCAAGCGAACCATGACAAAGTTGTTCGTGTTTCTGCTTAGAGTTGCAAATTATCTGCACAATAGAAAACACAAGGCAGCTGTGCCTGGGACAGTAAATCTGGCACAGATATACAGGTCTACCTGTCACAGATTGCCTTAAAATTGCAAACCCCACACTCCTTCAACAAATATTTTAAAGCTGAATGTCCTTGAAGAATCTGCTGGTGCTTTGGAAGTCATTAATGTAGCCAAGCATGTAGCTAGGTACTTGCTTGTATATTGTGAATGTTATCATTTGTAATTATTGCTGAAGTAAAACAAAAAAAAAACTATATTAGAATACAATTGTTCTATGTTTTTTCATTGAAAATGCATCAATTAAAGTCAAATCCAGTTCCTATTAAAATTAAATTAGTCTTTCATGTAACTGGAGTTATTATGCTCTGGAGTA